TTTTTTTTTTTTTAAAAAAATTTTTTTTTTTTTTTTTTTTTTTTTTTTTTTTTTTTTTTTTTTTTTTTTTCTAATAAAGTTTATCATTTCTATTTTCTTTTTTTCCAGACATAATATTTTATAAATTTTTTTATTCTATTTAGTGTTTTAGTGAAAGTGAAATTTCTACGAGTTAATTCGAAATTAGTAGAAATTTTTAAATGAAAAATATGAATGAAGCCAAATTTTGGAGTCTTCCTCCAAAACAAGCTCTGTACGATCCACTTCTTGAAAAAGATGCTTGTGGTGTCGGATTTATTGTTGCCATAGATGGAAAAAAATCACATAAGGTAAGATAGTGATAGTCATAAATTTTTATTATATTTGATTAAGTATAATTAGAATTTTATTTTTTATTTATTTTAAATGAATAAGAAAGAAAATTGAAAGAGATGGTAAATTAATTAACGAATTGACTTTTGTTGAAAGAATTGTTTTATTTCTATTATTTAAATAAATACTTTTTTTTATGTTCGATAATATTTATAATTGATTTAATTTAATTTAATTTAGTAGACATGAATTTGTGATAAGTAGAAATTTTTCATCCATGTTCACGCGAATTCGTATCTAGTGTAATTATTGTATATAAGATCATGGTTTCTATTTATCGTTTGCTCGAAATATGTATGTTTCTCATTTTCTTATCGTAGATTGTTCGCGATGCCGAGGTTCTTTCAGCGCGCATGAACCATCGGGGTGCCTGTGCTTGTGATAACGACACTGGTGACGGAGCCGGTGTTTTATGTGCAATTCCACATGAGTATTATGCCGATGAATTGCGGTAAGAGATAATCACAATTCATGGACTTTCTATTGCTTTATCATTCTGTGATATATTAATAGAATGTACTGGTTCAATAATATGTGCCCGCAATTTCATAATTTATGCATATCGATGATGAAATTATAATTTATCTCGCTTTATGTTTATATTTTTTTATATAAATATTGCATGTTTATCTTTTTATTAACTTTATTATTAATATTAATATTATTATATATATTTATTTATTATTTTTATTATTATTAGCAAATAATATCACAAATTATATAACCATATATATATAATGAATTATAAAATATAACTATTTCAAATAATTCATAAATTAAACTGTAAAAAAATTTTTCATACAAAAATTTCATGGTGCAAAAGAAGAACATAATTTGATATTTATCAATTTTATAAATATGTAGAAACTCTATAAAAATCAACTTTGTTTTCTTATATAAAATTGTGAATTTTTAATCAATTAATTGATGCATACAATAAAAATCATTTCTTATTGTTCATTGAACATAAAATTAAATTACAAAGAATATAATTATATTTATAATAAAAAATCATAAGACGATATTTTAATTTGAATTTTATAAAATTTGTATTGTAAAGAAATACTTTTCTGTTCATATTTTTTTTTTCATTTTTTTATATATCAAATAATTTATGAATTATTTGAAATAACTCATCTTGTATATCGTTAATATATTTTACTTAAATGTATTTAAAAAATCCGAAGATAACTTAATTCTATACGGAAATAGTAAAACAAATACATATTACATATTATAATATATGTATTGTGTTATAAATATTAACTCATTTACTGATAAGACTCATGTCATGTAGAATATAGCAATTTTGATTTTTCATTTTATTGAATATTGTACAAATTGTGATGTTTATAAATGCAAAAACTTTTCAAATTACATAATTTTTAAATCAAATTTAATTCTCAGTCTGATTTATGAATATTCTAAAATTACTACTTTTTTTAAAACATGATTATTTCAGAGATTTTAATTTATGTAAATTTTATTATTATTCTCTCTGAAATCTAATTATTTCAACAATGTACGATTATTTTATGATTCTATGATTTTATAATTCTATATCTTATTCTAAAAATTTCAAAACTATATATATGTACATTATTGGTATTTTCTTCATATCTTTAACTGACTTTCCCGAGAAAAAGAGAAGTAATAAATGTGTTCTGAAATAAGGATAGGACAATTGGTGCCATAATGGAATTTTAAGATAAATAATTTTCTGAGAAAGATTTACAGTTATATTTCATATCATTTTTTTCAATTGATGTTTTAAAAAGTTATGACAAAACATAATTCGGTATGTATATATATATGTATTTCTTCTTTATAAAACAAAAAAAAATAATAAAATTGATAAAAAAAGCATCATTATCAAGGAAGAATCAGATTTCCTAATTTTTTCATGGTATATATCTGAAATATATAACTTGATAAAATCCATTAACTTAATAATTTGAAAAATGAAAAATATTAGGATTACTTGATGAAAATAAAAAGCCATAAATCTTTACATAAGCTCTAAATTGTAATAATAGATTAAGATGATTAATCTATCATTAATTTTATTATTTTATTCTTTTTTCGAAGAATAATATTGTTGTTCATTTAATAATTTAACAATTTATTGTCATCTTGAATCTTTCGTCCCGTTTTAGAATAAAAGCGAATAATAAGTATACCTGATAAATAATTGTTTTTTTCGAGCGAATTGTTTATTTTCAAAACAGAACTGTATTTGATTGATAATAATCAAAAGATTGATCACTACAAAAAAAATGATTACAAAATTTATGTAATTTTTCAATGTTCTATTTGATTTTGAATATTCATTATGAAATTAATTTTATATTGTAAAATTATATTAACTGATTTCATATTATCGAATTAAATTGTTTGTTTTCTAAACAAATATTTTCTTAAAATATTATTAAAATATTCAAATTACTAAAAATTTCATTCGATTGTTAGTTCATTAAGAAGTGGCACAAATTAAAATATTTTTGTTTGATTTTAAATCATTTAAATGAAATTTGAATAAAATGAAATATTTTTTTTTTCAAATATTTAATCTTGAATTTTATTAATTATATTTATAAATAAATGAAGAATTTTTATTAATTATTTATATTTATATTAATTAATATTTGATAATTACCCATTTAATATTTCTCTAATTTTTTATTAAGAATTTTAATTGATTTTTTTTTGAAGTGATAATTTAAAAATAATACAAATATTTTCAACTCAATAATACAATTTATAATAAATAAAAATTTTAATTTTCTTATACATAACTTTTGTTTCTAAGAATTTACGATGTTGATTTATTAAATTATAAAAAATCAATTAAATCATTAAAATATAATATAAAAACTAAAAAGCATTGCTTTATTTATTAATGATTTTTTTCAATTTAAAAAAATAATTATTATGTTATTTATTAAAATTTTTATATAAACTTTTATATAAACTTTTATAATATAAATTTATTAAAACTTTAATATGTCAATTTTTCTTATTCTGATATATATAAAAAATGCTCTTTGGGATCATTACAAAATTAATAATTCCTTTAAATTTATGATATCTTTATTAGTATATGATATTTTTATAGTATATATTTTTTTATTTTTATTTTTTGTTTAAAAGAAACATTAATGTTCCATTTTAGCCAATTATTTTTTAAAAATTAAATATTATCTATTTATTTACTTTTTGTTCTGGTATTGATATTTTAAACAAATAGATTAGTTTATTTTTACTGAATATAATTTTATTTCTCAAAATATATTTTCTATTTCTTATAACTCTTTT